TTTATATATTTTTCTTCTTAAAAAGAACATTCCATTATAATAAATGTAAAATGCGGAAATAAGTAAAGGAATATATTTCAGGTGATTAGAATTGTGGAACGCAATAATAGAACGTGAATTTTATATCTGCAGTCTATGTTTGTGTTGACAAAGGTTGTTGGTACCTTTAAAACAGGGACATTTCGAATTGTTAGTGTCATCTATTTATTTTAATGGTCAATGGGTTAATTTAATATGTCAACAGAAAAAGAATAACCTATGTTTATTATATATATTACATACTTACAACTTACATATTATTTGTATTAAAAAATTGAATTAAAATGTATTATTAATTAATTCTCAATACAATAGAGACATGAAGTAACTGTAATATATACAAAAAGGAAAAAGGTAGTTCGACAGTAGAAAATGATATTTTGTGATAGGTACAATAATAATTGGTGAATTAATTTCAAACTATTTTTAGGAATTTGATGTCACCATATACTTGGAACAGTCTTGTGTAAATCTTTAATTATTATTATTGTAATTAATTGATAATCGTACCTATCTAATATGAATCAGTTAAAATTTAAATAAAATAATAAAAGTGAAGAACGAAGCATTTGGTATAAATGTACAATTTGTTTTGTGATAGTTAAAAAAACAGCTTCAATAAGTTGTTATTATGGAGCCATTATTTCAAGAAAGTTATGGTTTAATTGAAAAGGTACAGCGCTATTTAACTAAATGGATATACATACTTACCCAATGTACGGCATTGACTTTCCATTTAGATTACCATACATGATTAAAAGACTTTGGTGTGAAGACTATATAAAAAGCATCTATAATAGTGTGTCCAGTGATAGAATGAATTTGCCTTTTGTCAACTTTATTTAGAATTGTTAATCATGGATGGTGTCAAAGAAAAGGAAATAATTAGCCACATGTAGTGTTCTTCAAAATAATGTTTCCATAAATAGATCCTGAAATGTTTCTTTTTTGAGATGCCGGACTTTAACATTAACTCTTAAAAAATTTCAGGCAAATATATCTACAGATACCCGCTGCACAAATATGAAGCTTTGATTTGAAAGGTATGTAGGTATAGATATGTTCTGTTATAATTACAGAAAAATGTTTATTTTAGATGCTGTTCCTTAAACAATGCTGGAAATTGGACAATGCAGGGGACAAAATTTACAATATCACTTGTTTTTTAGTAGGTATCTATTTCACAACAAAAAGAAGTTTTACTTGGATTATTTAACTGTGTTTGTAGATAAAAATACTCTGGATTTTGAGTGTTGTGAGAAATAAGAAATCCCCTAAAGATTTTCGAGATAATAATTGATAGTAAAAACAGAAATAAAAAAGAATGTGTATTATTTATAATGGTATATTAAAAGAAAATTGTGTTTTTCTATCATAAACGGTGGATATTTAAAAATACATTTAATTACCGTATATTTCTTTAAAACTGAATGGTTAATATTTTTACTATATTATTTTTTCAAATGTCTATCAATGTTATACAAATATTTTTATCGTTTACTTATTTTAGACTTGTCAGATTCAATTAAAACCTGAGTTTTTTAAATGACAAAAAAAAATATTTATTGAAATGAAAGCATCGTGTACATTATTTATACTGTTGAATTGTAAATGAAAATGTTTGTGAGACGTCGTTTGAACTATAAAAATTTCTTTTTTAATTAGTGAGTTGAAGAAATGTTATCTTGAAATATTAAATAAAATTGGCAACAATAAATATTTGTGTTAATATATTCCTTTGTTACAAACTTGTAAAATCCATTTATAATTTTGAATGTCAGTATCTACCTGTTTTGCACGTTCCATAAGACTTGGGGGAGTATGTATGTATGTTGATTTTCGTATATTTCGTCACGTATATTGTAGTCATTAGTGTAGTGTAACATAGTATTTAGCAGCCAGGGCCACGTAATCATATCTTCGAAGAAGAGCCTTTGGAAGGCACCTCACATCAAATATTTCTTTTAAGAACAGTCACACTCTTGTTATATTGTTTTGTGTATAGACATAGGATTAAGTACGTACATATATTTGTTTACGTGACTGCGAAACATTTCCAGGAGATGTAAGAAAATAATATAGTTTACTGTTTTTTGTACTGCCAATTTCCTCGTGTGTTGAGATTATATTTTACTACTAAAAAGTTAATGTGGTAGTGATGACAGAAAATCTTCGATAATGGCACACGTTTCACAATTTTATAAGTCGCACTCGCGAAGGACATTCGGGTTTTAATCACTGTAATATCCGGTCGCTTCCGGGGTTGAAGTTGATGGGTTCTGTATAGTCACATAGCAGGTATATGCTCGCTGGTATAGTAGCCAAACTTGGAGATGATAAGTACCTGTCTCGATTGGAAGGTTCGATTTACAGATCCTAGAATTAACAGGATCGATTATGCACGATCGAAACAGTAGAGAGTCTTTAAGGCTCGTTTCAAAATATGAGGGGCCACGTACCCTCCCGTTGAACGTACCTTTCTTCTTGGGAAAAGATCTACACAAAATCTTCAGAAAACCAAAGAATACGATGTAAAACGGCCTCAGCTAGCGTGATTTACACAAATTGGTGCATATAAAGTTGAAAATTTCCGTTTTTCGTACAATCAAAGGGTGGCCGCCATCTTGTGATATCAAAGTGACGTTAGTCACGGCGCTGTCATCGGCTGTCATAAACTCGCAAAATTTTTTGTCGAAGGGTTTTATACCATCGCTTACGACCTTCTGGGGCTACTGTGAGGGCCGAATATAATTTTTCGCGGAAAGGAAAAGGTGTCGTGACGTCAGTCGTGAAGAATTCGGCCGCGAAAACTCCGCGATCGTCTCGTAAGAGCCGCGGAAATTAAGTTCTCTTTTCACCTGACTAAAGAGACGCCCATGGCTAAATGCACAAATTTTATGTCGCTAATGCCGGTCTTAAATTTAGTTACATTTGACCTAAAAAAAGTTGACGGAGATATGAAAGAGTGAAATCGTCGCGGCGCGCCGTCGAAGAGGCGTTTCGGGGGGCCAAATGGGGCCTCGTCGGTCCTCGGGCGCGGTCCGTACGCCCTGAGAAAAGCCAGGGCTTGGTTCTCGCGCAGGAAGCGGTGGGCCGCAGAGCGAGGAAAAAAAATTATCGCGACGCGAAAACGGCGATTTCGGAGAAATAAACCGGGCATTAGCAGAAAGACGGGTATTTCGAGGGATTTGACGGTGCAGAGTCTTTTTGAAGAGCAAATTTCGGCGTTGCGGAGTAGAAAATTCACCGCGAAACTACGCCCGACGGAGGAAGAAAGGACGAAAGTCGGGCGTAGTAGCGAAGATAACCGCAAATTCGCCCTGTAAAAAAAGTTTTTGCTATGGAAAATCGACCCTCCGAGTGACATTTGGAGGCGTTCCCGGTATGTTCTACGTGCGTTGCACACGAAAGATAGGCCGCGCCCCTCGAGGAACCCCGGAAAAACTTACAAATTCTCCGGGAAGGCGTCGAGTAGTCGCGTTCTAAATACGACGTTGGGACGCGGGAAGGACGTCGCGGCCCCCGAAAAGAGCCTTGTTAGTCCAAGTCGACGCTCTTTGGGGGCGGGTGTGCGACGCGAGCGGAGCTATCAGCAATTAATAGTAATTGACTAGAAACGTAGGCAAGTCGGCTTCGCCCACTTGACGTTTCTCTCGGGCCTTCGGCCCGAGAGAAACCCATGCTACGCGCCCCATGTGCTCCGCTTCGCGGAGCACTCTCTTGCGCGTATGTTTTTTAAATCATCACACCATCATCCACATTACCATCATCTACATCACCATGATCCACAGCACCATCGCATCATCTACATCACCATCATCTACATCACTATCATCCACATCGCCATCATCTACATAACATAATCTTCAGCACTATAATCTCCAGCACTATCATCTACATCGCCATCATCTACATCGCTATCATCTACATCACCATAATTGCATCATCATCTACAGCACCGTCATCTACATTACCATCATCAACATCACCATAATCTGCATCGCTATTATCTACATCACCATCATCTACATCTCCATCATCAACATCTACATCGTCATCATCTACATCACTGTTATCTATATCGCCATGATCTACATCAGCATCATCTACATCACCATAATCTACATCGCCATCATCTACACCACCATCATGTACATCGCCATCATCTACAGCTTCATCATCTACATCACCATAATTTACAGCACCATCATCTACATCATCTACGTCACCATCATCTACAGCACCATCATCTACATCACCATCATCTACATTACTATCATCCACATCGTCATCATCTACATCACCCTCATCTACGTCTATATCGCCATCATCGACATCATCTACATCTACACCACCATCATTTATACCACCATAATCTACATCACCATCATCTACATCGCCATTATCTACATCGCCACCATCTACAGCACCATCATCTACATCATGTAAATTTCTAAAATATACAGAAGCCTCTGGCCCGATAATTCTGACCTGGGTCAATTTATGTAGAACATCCAGTACATGGATTTTCAAAGAAAACGTCTGATTAGTAACTATATAAATTTTCATCAAGCGATTTCAATAAATAATGTAGGAAAGTAGGTAGTGAAATGAGAAAAAAATCCTTGTCCGCCTGTTTCATTTTTAGTTCATGCCAGACAGCAATGAGGGCGCTAGGCTGTTCTACTATATGTTTACTTAGCAGATCTAATATAGTGCTATATCTATGGTCTAGTTGGTTTGTCACGATTCGATGTAAGCATTACAGTCTACCCGGCTAACCTCAAATCTTTTATATCATGATAAAAGATATTTTGTGGCTATCAGTTGTCACTGTTGTCAGTAATTTTAATTTATATTTGACTGCAAAATTGACCTATTTTGGAGTGTTTGGTTTATAAAATAATATGGAAATTTGTAGTTGATGTGTAATTAATATATTAGTAAAAACTGATGGAATCAAAGCTGAAAGGTATGTATACAAATAAACAAATGTTGTCTTAGAATACAATTACAGAAAAATGTTTCTTTTAGATGCTGTTCTTTAAGCAATGCTGGATTCTTTAAACAATGCTGGAAATTGGACATTCAGGGGGTCTTGCTGAATAAGTAAAACATTAATTGCGAAGTTAAACGGAAAAATATTTTTTTTTGTAAATAAAAATACTGTGGATTCTTGAGTGTTGTGAGAAATAAGAAATCCCCCAAATATAATGTATTGTAAATCCATCATAAATGGTAATGGGTTAAAATTTCAATGTTATGAAGTTAAATGGAAGATATAAAAAAATGTTTTAATGCAGTTGACATGTGATAGCAGAAAATAAGGTTTTGTATTTAAAATTAATGTTATTAGTACAGAAATGCCAGTACAGTAGATACCTAATGCAGTATTTATTCAGATGTATGTATTATTGGTAATATTAAATTTAATAAAAAATAATGTGTTTTATTTGTAATGATTGATTGTGAAAGAAAATTGTATTTTTCTGTGACAGCAGTGGATATTTAAAAATACATAACTATATACTTACAGTATATTTATTTAAATCTGAATGGTTAATGTTTTTACTATATTATGTTTTTTCAAATCTACAAATATTTTTATCGTTTATACTACTATTTTTCAAATGATTAAAAAACTTTTATTGAACTATCTTCCAAAATTTGTTAACTACAAAATTGTATTTATTATACATATGTAAAAATGAACATACATTTGTATATTTTATATAATATGCTGGGAGTGTAACTACACATAATGTCATATTATACGGGGTAGGAAAGTACCGATGGTCTATCTGAAGTTACGTGAGAGCGATAAAATAAGCCATAGAAACCCATGCGATAGAGAAGGATGGCTATAATGAAGGCTTCTCTTTGTCACCGCCCGTTTCGCCCTTCCACAAATAAGATCCACTTCTTATTTGTGGAAGGGCGAAATGGCCGTTGACTATTAGATGCCTATTAGATGGCCTATTATAGCCATCCTTGTCTATCACATGGATTTCTATGGCTTACTTTATCGCTCTCACGTAACTTCTGATAGACCATCGTTACTTTCCTACACTGTATATGTAACGTATAGTGGAAGATCAACAAAGATGTCTTATTTAAATCGATCAAAATTTTTTGAAGAATTTTCCTAAGCAGGTATTTTCTCCATTTGTTTTAATAACTTTTTAACTTGTTTTACATATGTACCTAACTGAACAATTTTTTTATAAAATGAAATTAATGTAATGTAGTTTGAAATAACTTTATTTGCCATAGTTTTCTTAGAATTAGTGTAGTTAGTGTTAGATAATAATGATATATCCCTGTTGTGAAAAATAGACAACATGAACAAAAAAAGACTAAGTTTTTGAGACAGGTCCCGTATCAATGAAATCTTTAACCTTAAGGAACATTTCACAATTTTATAACCTGCACTCGCGAAAATCACTTGTTCTTTAATCACTTTAACTGGTGGCTTCCTGGGGGCCCAAAATTTATAGAGGAATTTTCCAAAGCAGGTATTTTCTCAATTTGTTTTAATAACTTTTTAACTTGTTTTACGTATGTACCCAAGTGATTTTTTTTTTATAAAATGAAATAAATGTAATGTAGTTTGAAATAACTTTATTTGCCATAGTTTTCTGGGAATTAGTGCAGTTGAAGCTACTACATGGAAGGCGAGAATGGTTAAATAATAATCACATATCCCTGTTGTGAAAAATAAACAACTTGAACAAAAAAAGACTAAGTTTTTGAGATAGGTCCCGTATCAATGAAATCTTTCACCTCAAGGAACATTTCACAAATTTATAACCTACACTAGCGAAAAACACTTGTCCTTTAATCACTTTAACTGGTGGCTTCCTTGGTAGAAGTGTAGGTAATGTAATGGTGGATTCTTGTAAAACACAAAACTTCCACACTGCATAGTTGTAACTGGAAAACTAAAATTTATGTTAGATTCTACCAATGGCCGGGTAAAAAAATATATATACTATACCTGCAGAAAGGGTTTTTGCAAGACATCTCGGAGCAGATTCTTATTTGTATTCTGAGCAAACTTGAAAGTAGCTTTTCTCAATACACAGGTTTATTTTACTCGACAGATGACAGGACTTGACAGATGGGGGTCGATTCGACAATCGTCAGTGATCGAAAACGTAGAGATAAATGTTTAAGGTTTGTTAGGTTTGTTTGTTTAGACATATCGCAGTGCAACGTAATCTTCGAAGGGGTTATAATTTTTTTGAAGGAATGGGTAAAGGCTCTGTTAAAACTTCTAGTGTTTTTACCGGTCCAAGTTGGAAGAATGTATTTAACCGACAATTCAGGTCACAAAGCAAACGTGGGGCCACGTACCTCATGGGAACGCCTGTTAAACGTAATTTTCCTTTTGTGGAAAAAAAAACCTGCGACAGGTTCAGAGACACATCGGAAACAATAGAAATCGTCCCACTTTAGCTTCTTTTACACAAACCGCCGCACGAAAGTTGAAAATTTTCAATTTTCCTAGGACGAACGGAATGGCGGCCATCTTGTGACATTAAACTGACAGTCTGACATTGGTTCAGAGACTTGCGAACTTTTCATTTTAAGAGTTAAATATAATCACTTAGAACCTGTTGGAACTGTTGTGGGGGGCGAATATAATTTTTTTCGGAAAGCTCGAGGTATGGGAATGTCGTCCATACATAATTGGACAGGGGGAACTGCACGAATGTCTCGTAAACGCCGGGAAAAGTACGTACTCTTTTCAGATGGCCGAAGAGACGCCCATGGTTGAATGCACAAATTTTGTATCGCTAATACCGGTCTTAAATTTTGTTACATTCGACCTAAAAAAAGTTGATGGAGATATAGAAGAGAGAGATCGTCGCGACGCGTCGCCGGAAAAGCGTCTCGGGGGGCCAACGCGGACTTCCTCAGTCCTCGGGCGCGGTCCGTACGCCGAGAGAAAGGCCAGGGCTTCGTCCTCGCGCAGAAAGCGAAGGCCGATCGAGCGAGGGAAAAAAATTATGCCGTCGCGAAAACGGCGTTTTTGCCGAAATAATTCGGGCTTTATGAAATAATCGGGGTCTGGCGAGAGAGACGCGAGATGCAGACCCCTTTTGAAAAGCCAATTTCGGCGTTAAAAAGTAAAACATACGCCGCAAAAATAGGCCCGAGACGCTCGGAAAGGACGAAACTTTCGCGTAAAAGCGGAAGGAAGTCCCGATCCCTCCCGGGAAAAAAGCCCTCGGTCGGAGAAATCGACCCCTAAACGCTTCCGATGGAGGGCGTTTCCGAGTATATGCGTCTCACTTCCCCGCTAAATGCCGCGGTCGGTCGCGCGGACCCCCCGAAAGACCGAAAATTGACTGGGAAGAGGGCAAAAAATCGCCGTCGAAATACGACGTTCGGATGAAGAAACAAAGGCGAGGGGCTTCGCCCCCCGCGGCGCGCTTAGGAGCCTTAGTGCAAAATGGCCCTTTTTCGGGGGCGGGCGTGCGAGCGAGTGCCCACCACGCTTTAATATATATGATATTTGTTTAGGTTTTATGAGAAATGTCTTCCTAAGGTTTATCGACAGAATCCAGAAGCACCCTTCCGAAAAATCAATTTTGCCATGAAACTACAAGAGTTAGGAAAAAAGTGAATGTAGACTTTTTGTTAATAACAAACTGTTCTATCTAAAAACAGCATCATTTTTTATTTTCAGTAGGGCTGGATTATTTTTTTTTATAATTTAATGAGTCTGAGTCCCCATAACTCCGCCACTGGTTGCTTGCGGGACTTCTACTTCTATGGAATGGTATCTTCTAAGAAGATGTGTCATGCCAAATTTGGCTTAAATAGCCTTCATTTAGAAGTTATTTAAAAAATTCGAATTTTTTAAAAAATCTTTAACGCCCTATATTTTGAAAATGAAGAAAAAGTTTAGATAAATTTGGAACGAATACACTGAAGATGAATTTTTCGAGACACAACGTCTGAATCGGGTTCGGTCTGAGGCAGTACAGTATTGGGGGCCACGAAGGCCTGCAAAAAATGTAATAAAATTTCTAGAGTTGTATTTAAAAAAATGAAGTTGATGATGGTCCTGGAGAGACAAAACGTTACATATAAAAATTGAATTATGCCATTCGATAGAGGGCAAAAAGTGGCCATGAGAGTGTTCTTCTTTTTTCAATATCACCTCAAACAAGGCTGAAATCAAACAAAAACGGATTTCCAAAATTTCGTTTTTTTTTCAAATATTTCGAAAATTATGTTAGCCTTGATTTTTTAGAGGCATAATGTTGGTTCGTTGATTACGCAACTTTGCCCCCATTGAAGCTACTTCGTACCTCTTACTGTTTCCGAGATCACTGTAGTGAGAAGCGAATTTGTAACAGCCTGTATATAACAACAATGAGATGTGTGAAATTTTCAGTAGTCGTAATAGGCCGATAAGGCTTTATATTTTGATGAGATCTTGATAGTTAGAAAAATCATCGAAATCGGAGCCATAGAAGCCGAGATACTGAACGCCAAACCGCGCACGATCTTCAATTTCTATAATTCATCTCCTCCCCCTGGTTTTGCGGCTCAAATGGTCAGCTTAGCGATATTCGTTGAATTTTCATACAGAAAACACACGTACGATAATATTTATAAAAGCACATATGGAAAGTTCTTGAAAAAACCTACTAAATTTAATTTTTGTTGTTACATTATATGCATAGTTTTGCAGCTAACACCTGTTGACTTTAACACTCGATCTCGGAACTTATACGAACGATTTGAACGTTCATTTTTTCAAGTTCAGCGTCTTTCCGAGAACCGTTTTTTAGTTCTTTGATATATTTCCCAACCTGCAAAACCGTTTAAAGTATTTGCTTATAGTCAAAATTTTCGAACTTTTAAAATCGCTCCAAAAATTATTTAAAAAAAAAAAAGAAAATTGATATAACGATTCTATATTTATGATAGTTAAGGGGTCCAAGTAATTATAAAAAAAATCAGCCCCAATTAAAATGCCTAACTTTAACCCCAGCATTGACGCAAAAGGATAACGACATTTCGCGCAGAAATTTAGTAGCAAATTGTCCAATGCCAAAACTAACAGACCGATTTCTCGCCGCCATTTATCCGATTATGTTCCATATTTTGTTTTTATATGAAAATAAAGGCATATTACTACTACTATTATTATTATCATTATCATTATCATTATCATTAGGATTACGATTACTATTACTATTACTAGTATTATTATTATTACTTTAACTATTACTATTACTAGTATTATTANTTATGATTATTATGATTATTATGATTATTATGATTATTATGATTATTATGATTATTATGATTATTATGATTATTATGATTATTATGATTATTATGATTATTATGATTATTATGATTATTATGATTATTATGATTATTATGATTATTATGATTATTATGATTATTATGATTATTATGATTATTATGATTATTATGATTATTATGATTATTATGATTATTATGATTATTATGATTATTATGATTATTATGATTATTATGATTATTATGATTATTATGATTATTATGATTATTATGATTATTATGATTATTATGATTATTATGATTATTATGATTATTATGATTATTATGATTATTATGATTATTATGATTATTATGATTATTATGATTATTATGATTATTATGATTATTATGATTATTATGATTATTATGATTATTATGATTATTATGATTATTATGATTATTATGATTATTATGATTATTATGATTATTATGATTATTATGATTATTATGATTATTATGATTATTATGATTATTATGATTATTATGATTATTATGATTATTATGATTATTATGATTATTATGATTATTATGATTATTATGATTATTATGATTATTATGATTATTATGATTATTATGATTATTATGATTATTATGATTATTATGATTATTATGATTATTATGATTATTATGATTATTATGATTATTATGATTATTATGATTATTATGATTATTATGATTATTATGATTATTATGATTATTATGATTATTATGATTATTATGATTATTATGATTATTATGATTATTATGATTATTATGATTATTATGATTATTATGATTATTATGATTATTATGATTATTATGATTATTATGATTATTATGATTATTATGATTATTATGATTATTATGATTATTATGATTATTATGATTATTATGATTATTATGATTATTATGATTATTATGATTATTATGATTATTATGATTATTATGATTATTATGATTATTATGATTATTATGATTATTATGATTATTATGATTATTATGATTATTATGATTATTATGATTATTATGATTATTATGATTATTATGATTATTATGATTATTATGATTATTATGATTATTATGATTATTATGATTATTATGATTATTATGATTATTATGATTATTATGATTATTATGATTATTATGATTATTATGATTATTATGATTATTATGATTATTATGATTATTATGATTATTATGATTATTATGATTATTATGATTATTATGATTATTATGATTATTATGATTATTATGATTATTATGATTATTATGATTATTATGATTATTATGATTATTATGATTATTATGATTATTATGATTATTATGATTATTATGATTATTATGATTATTATGATTATTATGATTATTATGATTATTATGATTATTATGATTATTATGATTATTATGATTATTATGATTATTATGATTATTATGATTATTATGATTATTATGATTATTATGATTATTATGATTATTATGATTATTATGATTATTATGATTATTATGATTATTATGATTATTATGATTATTATGATTATTATGATTATTATGATTATTATGATTATTATGATTATTATGATTATTATGATTATTATGATTATTATGATTATTATGATTATTATGATTATTATGATTATTATGATTATTATGATTATTATGATTATTATGATTATTATGATTATTATGATTATTATGATTATTATGATTATTATGATTATTATGATTATTATGATTATTATGATTATTATGATTATTATGATTATTATGATTATTATGATTATTATGATTATTATGATTATTATGATTATTATGATTATTATGATTATTATGATTATTATGATTATTATGATTATTATGATTATTATGATTATTATGATTATTATGATTATTATGATTATTATGATTATTATGATTATTATGATTATTATGATTATTATGATTATTATGATTATTATGATTATTATGATTATTATGATTATTATGATTATTATGATTATTATGATTATTATGATTATTATGATTATTATGATTATTATGATTATTATGATTATTATGATTATTATGATTATTATGATTATTATGATTATTATGATTATTATGATTATTATGATTATTATGATTATTATGATTATTATGATTATTATGATTATTATGATTATTATGATTATTATGATTATTATGATTATTATGATTATTATGATTATTATGATTATTATGATTATTATTATTATTATGATTATTATGATTATTATGATGATTATGATTATTATGATTATTATGATTATTATGATTATTATTATTATTATTATTATTATTATTATTATTATTATTATTAATTATGTGGATCGGGTTGTAGGAATTTGTTTTATAATACTTTAAAGTAGGTACTTACATTTCTAGTCGAATTTGACAATTTCTTACCTGTCAGTTGAACGCTTCAAAATTATCTCGATTTTCATCACTTTCTTACGCTGTTTTGGTTATCTAGCAACAAAAATATAATACGCACGGGTATCCAAACAATTCTATCTTATAGCAAATTTCATAACAATTTTGGGTTTTTTCCGTAAACTGCATATTTAAAAAGTTACATTGGAAAATGTGAGAAAAAACACGCCTTTTTTGGGAATTTTTGCAGTTTTTAATTTTTCCTGCAAATAGCACAACTTTTTTTCTGGCGCAAACTTATATTTTCATTGTAAATACAGGGTGGGCCATTAGTGTGAGAAAGTAAAATTACTCCCTTGTTATTCATAATACAGAAAAAAAGTTTATATAAAAGTTGTACAGAATCAAAAAACCTAAAGGACAAAGTTAATTTGAAACATACAGGGCAATGAGTAAAAACCGGATACGCCAAATATTATATTTTTTAAATGGAACACCCTGTATATTTTTAAACATGGATTTCTGAGAAAATTCTATATATGGCAATATAGACAATTTAACTTTTTAGTGCGGGGTTACCAAGTTATGTAGAAAATTCTTCGAATTTTGGAAAAAACATGACTTCGAAGAAGTTGTATTAACTTTCAACTACTAACACTTGGAGCAAAAATATTTGACAGAGTTTTAGGCAAATGATAGGCAAAGACTCCTATTTTAGCTAATATCGATAATTTATACAGGGCATTTTTTAAAATAAGATCATTTTTAGAAAGTTTAAACTTGATTTTCTGAAATTTTTCAAATGGAACAGCCTGTATTTTATTGTTCTAGTTTATTCACATATCAGCCTACTTCAACTTTTATTAAGTATGTTCTACACCTAAAGTTGTTTGTTTTTAAGATATAGCAAAATATCTGGAAAAACTAATTTTTATTATTTTCGGTCGCACGAAATGGCTTTGGAAAAAACTGTCACATTGTGTCAACTTGTCAATTTATAATTTATCATTCCATTGTGAGTTAATTTTATTAGTTAGTATACTATCTGTGCTGTATTTTCTCTTTTCGGGTAAATATATTTATAGGATTGATTCGAATAATGAAATGAATTGCTTGTGGTTAGTAGTGGACTGTATCTTTATTTGTTATGTATTACAGAAAATAAAACGTGTCACTTTGACACTTCATAGCTAACATAGATATTTCAACATAGACCGCCGGCCTTGAAATACTATGACGGCTTTCAATTTTCAATAATAAAGAAATTTACAATATCATTTAATACTAAGTAGACATGGTTACATTAGTTGTTAATTTAAAGAGTTAACCAACAAATTCATGTCTGTTCATTTGTCGCACCTTTATCAGTAACTTCTAGCGGAAGTTTACATATTTTTGTGATTGCGCGTTTCACAACACCGTTTGTCGTTTGAACACTCGCTACACTCACAACCTCATCGTCACCAGGATGTAGTTGTGTAATCCTTCCTAAAGGCCAACACATGGGTGGAGTATTCTCGTTCTTTAGTAGTACCAAATCGCCTATCTGCAAATCATTGGACTTGTGAAACCTCCACTTTGGTCGTTGCTGTAAAGTTGACAGGTACTCGCAACTCCAACGCTTTCAAAAGTGTTGTACAATTTGCTGAATTCTTTGGTAATGCGATAGTCGGTTATCGGGAACATTTCGTATGTCACCGGACGACTAATTTTAGCTGTGGTAAAACACGGTAGAGAATTAGAATACCTTTCAAACGATGAGTCACTTAACCCTCCTTCCTTATTAAGATTTTTGGGGGGTTGCCCCCTGCCTAGGGATGTAGAATCTGTAACAATATGTAAAAAGATGTCCACCTTCGACCAAAAACGACCTGCCACGGCGTTTTTCAGAAAAATAATTCTCCGAGTTATTCGCTGTTTCGTTTAAAAAATTTAATATTTTAACCCTACCATGTTTATACTTATTTGAAATTAGTATTTATGTTTTCAATATTAAAGATAAATATCAAAAAAATGTCGATATCCGCCAAGTGAATACTAGAAATCAAGGTAATGTTATGCTCCTTTTGCACGTTTAAATATTACTTATAAATCTTACATTCTTACTTGGGTCCTAGAATCTTTAATAAATTGCCCCCAACGTGTTTAAAAATGAACTGAAGAACAGGAGAAAGTTTTCTGTTATATCTTCTATAATGTATCTCACTTTTACTGTCCCATGGCCTAGACTTACCTTTTTATTTATTACTCTTTGTTTGTATTGTTTTTCTATACAATGTAATTTAAAAAACTCCCTACGAAAAAAATGTCAATAATCAAAAGTTAATCAATCAATCAATCAAAAGTAGGTGGGGATGGGGTTAATCTAAAATAGGAACCTTAATTTTTTATTCGAATTCTACGGCTAAAAATACGTTAATATTTGTCTGAAACATTTTTTTCGATTCATGAGAGATGGCGATGTGAGGTGCAAGTGTTGAATTTATACTATTATGAGTTATTTTATTTCAAAGAAAAATTAAAACCATGACATCAGTGCTGGTGTATTACAACTTGAAATGAAAACAATGAAACAATGAAAATTAAGTGAAATTAAAATGAATCTAGCGAAAGCAATTAATATTAGAATTTTTTGCGAAAATATTCCATACGTGGGTACTGTCCACTCCATTATATAATAAAAACTTCTAATTTATTTTCCGTATTCCAGTGTATTATTTTTATAAACTAATAAAAAATAGACAAATGTTATACCTCCTGCAAATTTACTATGGTTTCAACGATACTTGCTTTTACTTGGGCTGAATTCAATGTTTTAGGTAATATTTTTTGTTGGGTATTTTTTTAAACATCCCTTACATTTTTACATCTACAAGGTGTAACTGAAATAAGTATTCAAAATTTCTGAGCTTGTAAAACAAGTCGAAAAATGACGAAAACATTAGTACAATTTTTGTCAGTGGCGGCTCCTAAGGGAGCTACGCTCTCCTAAAGGGGCAACAGTTTTTAATGCGTAACATCCAAACGGCTCGACATTAAGTCACGAAATTTTGGTGAGATATTAACCTTGACGTGCTTAATAAGTCTCATAAAATACATTTCAAAATTTGCTACAGGGGCGTGAGAAAATGCAGGACCCAGGGACAAATTTAATCATATCTTTTTTGTAGTCAATTTTTTCTAGTTCCTGACTCGAAAATATTGAAATTTGAAGTATTTAACATAAAAAAGGTCCTCTTGTTAAATTTCACTAGGATGTGCCGTTTTCCAGTAAAATCGATTTCAATCATTCCCAACGTGCTCCAAATTCAACTTTCATTACATAGCAAAATAAATTAATTGCAGTGTGCCATGGGGAAAACAACTAGTCTGACAGTTAACAGAAATGTCAAGTATTTTTAGTTTCAAATTTGTGTCATTTGAGTATTCGCAGTGCCGTTTTATAGTAAATAAAAATATCAAATAATTTAAAAATGCAACAGTATACATTTTCTGAGTATGTAGATATGCTTTTGACGTTAGGTGAATGTCATGGAAGCGCAAGAGCAGCCGCACAACGATACGGTGAAAAGTTCCCCAACAGAAATGTGCCCAATTACAAAACATTTCTTTGCACAGAAAGGCGTTTGCGAGAACGGGGTACGTTAAAAAGGAACAATTTTGAGAGAGGCAGGCGTAGAATAATTAGAAATGTCCTGAATGAGGAAAATATTTTAAATTTAGTTGAAGCTAACGCCACACTTAGTACAAGACGACTATCAGTTCAAAATAACATGTCTCATATGACAGTATGGAGGATAATGAGAGAACAACAATTGTATCCCTATCATTATAGACAGGCCCAAGACATTTTACCACAGGACAGGCCCATGCGCAGACAGTTTTGTCAGTTGGTTTTAGACAGGCAAGCCGAAGATCCGATGTTTCTATCGAATATTATTTTTACCGATGAAGCTACCTTTACCAGAAGCGGTGTTTTTAATATGCGCAATGAACATATGTGGGCCGAAGAAAATCCTAATGCTCGGAAGGTAACCCATTATCAGCATTCATTTAAAATAAATGTTTGGGCTGCCACATTAGGAAATAATCTATTTGGATATCACATCATGCCTGGAAATTTAACCGGAGCAATGTACCATCAATTTTTGTCTACTAGATTGTATGAATTTTTAGAGGATATTCCTTTGGTAAGACGAGGTTCCTTATGGTACATGCATGACGGCGCCCCTCCTCACTTCAACCGTCAATGTCGACAGTGGTTAAACGAGCACTTCCCAAATCGCTGGATTGGCCGAGGAAATGATGCTGCCATAAATTGGCCTCCACGGTCACCAGACCTCAACCCAATGGATTTTAACGTGTGGGGTCAAATGAAACAAAAAGTGTATTTCCAAGCTGTTGACAATGAGGAACAGTTGCGTCAGCGTATAGAAAATGCATTTAATGAACTCAATGTGGAGCACAAACTATACCGGAACCTATTTTCTTTGGAAAACAGGTTACGTGCGTGCATTAGGGCAAACGGCGGACATTTTGAAAGTTGAATCTAGTCTGTCTTCTTGACTAGGGCACATTTTCTGCTAAAGAAATTAAGATATTTGGTTAATTTGTTAAACTAAACTAAATGGTTTAAATCTGTTAAAATGTTACGTAAAAGTTTCAGCCGCTTACAATAGTTTAATAAATAATCTCATATGTATCTATTTTTTAGCTTTTATTTATATCACCATATTTTTATTTGTTACTATTAAGAGTGTTAAAAATATTTGACATTTCTGTTAACTGTCAGACTAGTTGTTTTCCCCATGGCACACTGCAATTAATTTATTTTGCTATGTAATGAAAGTTGAATTTGGAGCACGTTGGGAATGATTGAAATCGATTTTACTGGAAAACGGCACATCCTAGTGAAATTTAACAAGAGGACCTTTTTTATGTTAAATACTTCAAATTTCAATATTTTCGAGTCAGGAACTAGAAAAAATTGACTACAAAAAAGATATGATTAAATTTGTCCCTGGGTCCTGCATTTTCTCACGCCCCTGTAGCAAATTTTGAAATGTATTTTATGAGACTTATTAAGCACGTCAAGGTTAATATCTCGCCAAAATTTCGTGACTTAATGTCGAGCCATTTGGATGTTACGCATTAAAAACTGTTGCCGAGGACAGCGTAGCTCCTTTAGGAGCCGCCACTGATAAAAATTGTACTAAAGTTTTCGTCATTTTTGAATACTTATTTCAGTTACACCTTGTATATGTAGTTAGATAGAAAATTAAGACGTTTCTTGAAAATAGATATCGAAAAGCTGAAGTTGAAAATAGTCATTGATTTCGTCACTACATAACATCTATGACGTCATAAATTTAACAGGTTTTATTAATTTATTAAACTATATTTAGTTTTTAATGGAGTTATGGAATTTATAAGTTACTATAAAAAATAAAAGAACTTCAATATTTCAAACTATTCATATTCAATATTTCATCTTCGTAAAAACAGATGTTTTCCTGTGGTTATACGGCATTATGTACTCTTTAAATAAATATTTAATTTTATTTTTATTTTCATCGTGACAAAACATAAACAAAAAAGAATTTTGTTATTTGTTTTCAACGAGAACTTTTTCATGCTTATTAATATTTTATTTGCAGATTTAATATTTATGCAGTTTGTTTCTCTGCGCTCTGCGTGTTTATTTCGTGTCATATAGAACTCAGCGTGCTTGCCAGTCACTTCATACTTCCCTATAGGGACAACCTTCTACACGATTAACGATCAAAAATAGGTTCCGTGAACTAGGGGAAAACCCAAGTTCAAAATCGATAAATGTGAGTTTTCCATTATAACTTATTTTAGAAATAAGAAGAAAAGTCCAATTTCTCACAATCCTTTTATTTAAAAAAAAATATATATACTACCGGTTTCGATGTCAAATTTTTCATCTCATCCTCAGATCTTACAAGGCCACAATATAATATAATTTTTTAAATTAGTAAAGTTAAATTATGTTTAATTTTAAATTTTGTAAAGTGTGCTTGTAGACTAGGCGGTATCTGTTTTGGTTTGGGTGAAACCATTGTATAAGTAAATATAGTATTATATTTCTTATGGAAGAATAGTTGATCAAATTTTAGTTCTCGAATTCGTTACAAGGAGGAGCCATATGTATATAAACTTTAATCGTTCACGTTCCATTTTACACTTTCGATACTGCGCCATCTTATGTTCAATAGTTAAATGATCCACTACACAGATATTTGGAAATACAGTTTTCTTGGGATGAAATGACAGGGTAACGGAATAAATTCATATCACGTGACATGGAAATTAGTAAAATAGTTTGAGTTTTTATCTAGGGGTTGAGAAATTATTTAAATAAGATAATATTAGTTAAATCAATATGTGTGTAATTTAAGCAAGATATTTATTTGTTGTGAAATGTTATAATTTTTTTTTTTTTACCAAATGTTTGATTTTAATTGTTTTTCTATTAATATATTGCGCTTATTAGCTTAGTTAAAATTTTTTTAACGTTATTTGTTTATAAATTTGTTATAAACAAATGGACAAGTTTAATATTTTTGGAACATTTTTTTTGCCATTTTATTGTCTTGGTAAAATAATGATTTTTAAAAACAAAATTAATTAATTGTTTATAATCGTTTTTTATTTATTTGTCA